CAGGGAGGCTTGGTGCCGTCAGCACTGAGGCCCAGGGGCAGGCAGGAGAGGGCCGGGGAGCCTCCCACACACCGACCGCCCAGAACCCGGCCTTCTGAGGGCCTCTGGACTTGGCCTGCGCTGGGCCGGCAGAGTCCTCCGCTATCTGGGTGAGGCGAGAAGGGGGAGAGAGCCACCTGAACAAGCAGGGGCCCCACGGCAAGCTGCCGGGCACCGACAGGGGCAGCACACCCAGCTGTCCACAGCTGCTGGGAGCCGCTGCTCTGTCTTGAGGTCACTGTCTTGGAGCCTTGGCCTTGTCCCCTGCACTTGGCCTTGGGAGTTCCCCTGGGATAGGACCTCTCCCTGACCCTGGACACCACCCTGTGTTCCCAGCCTCAGCCCAGTAAACAGAGTTTGTCCCCCAGGCCTTGGGACCCAGAGCCAGCATGCCCAGCGCTGCCCACGCATCACGTGCTCCATACTGCACCAAAACACGCTGCGGACATAGCAGACACCACACCCACACCACACGAACACACAAAGACCCACACACACTGGCAGCATGTGACACCCACAGGCAGACACAACACACCTGCTCCCCACGCTGCACATCACGCACAACTCCCAGCCAGCCCTTTCCCCCGACACACACACACACACACACACACACACTCACACACTCCTTTCCAACGGCTCTCTGGGTGCCCCCGGCACACTCCTCCCTTTAACCCTCTACAGGACAGCCTGAGTGATTTTTTTCAAAAACCCAAAGGAAACCAATTGCTCTGAACTCCTCTCACTCTTCCTGTGACTTTCCAGAACCTTCAGGCTAAAGGCTGAGCTCCTGATCAGAGCTCTCATGGCCCCTCAGTCCCCACCCAGCTGTCCCCATCCTCCTGTCCCCAGGGGCCAGGCCCTTCCCCACCGCACCCTGGGACCCCCAGGCTCTCATTGCCCCTCCAGAGACCAGCTGGGCGGCAGCCACAGTCCGTCCACACCCCGTAGTCGTCCTTCCAGACCCCGCAGAGCTGGCCCTTCCACAGAGGGGTCCTGACCTCCCACAGGGGGTGGCTCCCTCGTCCTCTGCCTCGTGCAGGTAGGTAGCGGGATGACTTGCCCTGCGTCATCCCTCTTGTGGGCAGGCGGCCCTCTCGGTCCCCGCCTCTCCACAGCGCCATCCTAGCTCTAGGGGTGCTCAGGTGGCAAGGGGTAGGTGGCCCTCACACCCTCATCCTCCCACACAGATCAAGGTAGAAAACCAGCACGACTACCAGGACATCACCAGCGTGGTGGCCATGGCCAAGACCTACGCCACCACCGAGGCCTTCATCGACTCCAAGTACGACATCCGCATCCAGAAAATCGGCTCCAACTACAAGGCTTACATGTGAGTCCCCCGCAGGGCTGGGGGCTGGGCGGAGGGGCGGGGCGAGGGGATGTCTGCTGCCCTCCCTCCGCACACCCGGCTGGCCCTTTCTGCCTCCTTCCCTGCCCTTCCTCTCTGGTCTGTCATGGCGGACACCGTGGTGGACCTCCCCTCTGAGAAAGAGGACCCCTGGCCTGTCTGGGGACTGCAGCTAGGCGTGGTGAGCAGGCTTGGCAGTCAAAACTGGGGACAAGTCAAGCAGGCCTTTGGACGCCTGGGTTAGGATTTTCTTCAGTTCTCTGCACACGATCCCATCTGTGTATATAAAAGATAACTGGGGACCGTGAGCTGCAGGAGGGTGACATCAGGTCTCTCTGGCAGCAAGGGACAGAAACCATGGCTGGCTATCTTAACGGTTTTGTTTTGTTTTGTTTTGTTTTGTTTTGTTTTGTTTTTTTAAGTGAATGTACTAGAAAACAATGGGTGATAAGAAACAAAAACAAAAACAAAAAAAGCCTCTGAATTACCAAGTTTAGAAATGTTAAGATCCAGAGCGGCCCCAATGATCTGAGAGCCAGAGGTACTAGGCAGCTCCCATGGCGTTGCGGCTGGCGAGGAACCTGTCCTAATCATTTTCAGTGCTTATCTCAAGATCATGGGTCCCCGGACCAGGAGATCCAGCCAGCTTCTGCCATGCTCTTATTGGTTAGAGAAAGGCAGACGACCCCTAGGGGTGTCCCAGAGGGGAGGTGTGCCATGTGCTCAGGGCCATTCCCCAGGGGGAACAGAGGTCCCTGTATCTAAAAGAAAAAGAAGGAATGAGAGACAGGAGGACTCAGCCCACCTGCACCCCTGACGTGGCTCAGCAGTGCTGGACCCCCCCAGGGCTGAGGCCGAAGAGTTCTGGAGTAGCCAGATCTCGTTCTTCGGAGAGGACTCAGCTGTCGAGCCACTTCTGTCTTCACTTTGGAATGTTCCACTTGCAATGACGAGACCCAGAGAGTCCAGAGAGCCTGACCGCTAAGGGTTTGCGGAGCTCGGACTGCGTGGCTCCGTAGGTGAGCCTCCACGGTTGTCCCAGACAGTTGGAAAGTTTTTCTGTCCACATTTTTCTTCCATACAGGATAGCAAGTACCCAGGGTCAGGTCAGCAAGTCACAGTCCCCGGGGCCAAATCCAGCTGCCTCCTGATTCTGTCTCGCTGCTCTCGGCCATGCAGGTCTGCCCCTGGATGGCCGAGAGTTGATTCTGCAACACCTGGATGGCCTAGGCCAGGGGTCAGCAGACTTGTGTGAAGGGCCAGATGGTGATGTCAGACTCTGAGGACCCTGCAGACTCTGTTGTCACCACTGCACTCTGCCATGGCCTGGGGCAGTGGGGGAGATGATGGCAGATAGTCCCAGGAGAGGGATGGCGCCCCTGCTCAAGGAATCCTTCTCCTGCCTGGTCAGTCACCCTCTTCCAGCCCCAGGGAGAGCCAGAGTTGCCACTGCTCTCAGATGTCCTCAGGCTGATAAAATGCCCTCCCTGCCCCTCTGAGTCACACCACATGCAGCAAGGCCACCCGACGTCCCTCATGATATCACTTCCTCCTGTCTGCATTGTTGGAGCTGGCACTTGACGTTGACGACACCTTGTCCCAGTTTCTTTTCTTGAGGATGACCTCATTGCCCCATTCTTCATCTGAGCCTCGCTGGCCTGACAGCTCCGACTTGGCACACGCTGTGGCGCTTCCTGGACTCTGGGCTGTTCACATCCAAGGAAGGTGGCTCATGCCAGAGCTCAGGGAGGAATGTCCTCCCTGCCCTGACCATTCAGCCTCCTCGATGGCCCACATCCTGCCCTGCACCCGGGGCAGGCTGTGGTGGCTGCTACTAAGGTGTCACAGCTTTTAGATTCTCTCGTGAGATATGGCAGAGAAATAGGAGTGTGACTCCTCCCCCACACGAACATGCATGTCCACGATCATTTCTCTACAGAGCCATCCTATGGACATTAAGCTCAAAACAGTCCCACCGACGTCTGTGACTTTTATCTGGCATGATGTGGTTCCTCTTGGCCTTTCCTTAACTGCTTATCTGCACCCTCCCACTCCAACAGAGGAGATCCTGGCTCCCCCCATCAGCCATCCACTGACTTACCTGTTTATGTGCCCAGTGCCAGCCCATCCACCCATGGCCGTGGAGGCGACTTTACCCACTGTAGCACACAGCCAGGTGCAGCACCTCTCATCTTCAATCACACTGTCCCCACTCGGTCCAAAGTCACTCAGTACCTCTTCCTCCACCTGCTCCAATGAGGTTAGACCATAGCCCTATGCTGTGCTCCAAATGTTTCTGTCCCCTCAAAGTCACGCGTGGAATCCCAACCCCCAAGGTGATGTCGTGAGGGAGGTGGAGGGGCCCTGGGGAGGGGATCGGAGCAGGAGGGCAGAGCTCTCAAGAATGGGATCCTTCTAATGTTCTTCTAAAGAGGGTTCAGAAAGACCCCTGCCTCCTCCAGCACGGGAACCAGACAGTGGGTCCTCACCGCACCCCGAGTGGGCTGGCACCTTGATCTCGGCCTCTTGGCCTCCAGTACAGGGAGACGCTAATCTCTGTTCTCTCTACTAAGCATACACTATCCTTTGCTCACTCAGTAGCTACTGGGCACCTACTACATGCCAGGTTCCACTGGGCTCTGGGGGTACAGGGCATGCACTGAAACAGATCCCCTGCCCTCAGGGGATCCGCACATCAGGAAAGACAAGACACGAAAGCAATCACTACAAGCCGGATCAGCATGGCAGAGCTTAGCGCAGGGGGTGGTGCCAAGCAGTCAGATAATGTAGACTGGAGGGAAGGCATGTTTGAGATGAAGCCTAAGTATGATAAGAACTTGGGGTGGGGTGGGCAAGCTGGAGGCAAAAGCTACACGGAGCACAGGGGAGAATGCACTGCAGGCCATGACCTAGGGAGGGGCCATGTGCACTGGGGCACAGGAAGGGAGGTCAGGTGTTGCTGGAGCAGACAAAGCTGCAGAAAAGGAACAGAGGAGGGTGGCAAATCAGGCACAGGCCAGAACTTCCTGCTTTTCTTCATGGAAAAGTAACCACTTGTCTCTAAGGATCATTTTTCCTACATTTTGGGGCCCACAAAAAGTTGCAGAATCACCAGAGGCTACATGGCCCTAGTTCTCCTCAAAAAGGAGACACCAGGTATATTAGTCAGCTTTCTGTTACTGTAACAAGATACCTGAGCTAAATCAACCTACAAAGAGGAAACATTTATTTTGGCTCTTGGTTTCAGAGATCTCATGTCATGGTTACTTAGGCCTATTGCTTTGAGTCTGGGCTGACAGTACATTGTGACAGAAGCACATGGCAAAGGAGGCTGCTCACCCTATGGTACCCAGGGAGCCAAGGAAGAAAAATACCAGTGTCTCAATATCCCCCTAACTTCCTCCCATGAAGCTCCACCTCTTAAAAGATTCCACCACCTCCTCATAGCACCAAGCTGAGGACCAAGCTTTAGCATGTGGGCCTCTTTGGAACACTTTAGATCCAACCTATACCACCAAGGTTGGGGGGATCTTATCTGATGACATCAGTATATTTTAAATTTGATTTTTATATTCCAAAACCTTCCTAGAACGATACATAAAGTAAATAAAGCAATCAGGATAAAAGGAAATAAAAACAGGAAAAAAAAAAAAAAGGCTGAGGACAGGGTACATACCAAAGAGGTGCATACCACAACTATTGTGAGCCAGATATTTGAAACACAGCCTCCTAACAACCAAAGCAAAGAAGGAAAATAGACCAGTGACAGCGATCCCTAACGACCGTGATGTACTGTTGGGTTTTGTTTTTGTTTCATTCTGGTTTTGTCTTTGGATCCAGGCGAACGTCCATCTCTGGAAACTGGAAGGCCAACACAGGCTCCGCCATGCTGGAGCAGGTGGCCATGACTGAGAGGTAAGAGACGGATGGGGAGCAGGGAGACAAGGGGTGCCGCTGTGGCGGGAGCTGGGAGGGGACAGCAAGGAGCCCTGTGAAGCATGCCACCACCTTGTCCAGAGCCTCCCCTGCCCACTGCTCTGAGAAGGGAGCAGGGAGTCCCCGTGCTTCTCTTTGGGAAGCACCCTTTTTAGGGCACCAGGGGAAATGGAATCGCTCCTTTCGCAGATTCCTGTTCCTCCCGGTAGGAGGGGCTGACCTCGAGTGTTTCCCGGCTGCACTCTGGCTGAGCGCCTCACGCAGGCCTTTCTCCCTCTAAACACTTGCTGCAGCCATTCTCACTTGAAACAGGGCTGTCACCTGCTCCCAGGGCCAGTCATCCGCATTCTTTCCCTCCTGTCGGGTGACCTCTGCTCCCAAGTACGTGGTAGCAATGCACTTAGTGTGGGCTTTGGGGCCAGAAAGCTCTAAGTATTCAGTGGACATTTATTGAGTGCCAACTGCATGCCCTACTGGGCTGAGCACTAAAGAGGCCACAGTAGAAAGATCCAATCATTCCCTTTAAGAACTCTGGATCCGTTTGAAGGGTCCAAGTGACGGGGTCTTGCTCTAAAGGACTTACTGGCTCCCCTCCTGAGGGCCAGGCTCGGGGAGGCCTGGGCACTCCTTCTCCACCCTGTTCAGGAGAGCGTTTCCCGCGGCTGCTTCTCCTACAGAGGCCCACGGAGCCTCCGGGCTTGGGCCTTCAGGGTGTCAGGTCCCGCGGACGGAAAACCTAGCTCCCAAGGGACCCACTGAAGCCCGCGACTGAGCCCTAGTCACTAACTGGCCAGGGTTGGGGCACGTGACCCCTCCTGAACCAATCCCTGTGCCCGAGAAGGCCGCGGTGCTGTGATTGGATGGCTCAGGCCAGGCTCCACCCCTGGAGGTCCGACTGGGACCGCCCCCCTGCGGCCGATCCGTGCGGAGGGGCGTCGAGGAGTCTTTCCATGGAGGGAAAATAAGTGACCCACGGACTGGGACAGAGCCCAGCAGCCACCCCTGCCGCGGCTCCCCACTAAGAACGGGGACAAAGAAACAACTAGAGGGCGAGGCGGTGAACAGGGCGGAAGGGAGCCCTAAGTGCTGGCAGTGGGCACTCAGAGAAGGGGCGCCCAGAGGGGACCAGGGAGGGAATGGCCAAGGCTCCCTCGAGGACATGGTGCCTGATGACGTCCTAAAGAATGGAGGAGTCAGAGGACCTGGTCTTGTTTCATCTCTTTGTCAACTATTCGATGGGCACCTAGTGGGAGCCAGTCATTGAGCTAGGCCCAGTTCTGGGCCTAGAAAGCCCCCATGAACTGCAGTGAGTGGCCCTGACCCGTGCTGTGGGACCTTGGAGAAGCTCTGAACTGTTCTGAACTTCTTCAGTTATAAAATGAGGGCACTAATACCCAAGTCAAAGTGCTTCTGCAAAGATGAAGAGAGGGATATGCAGTGCCTGACCCAGTCCAGCCCAGGGCAGGGAGGAGAGCCTGTCTTCCCAGCTACCTTCCCTGGCAGCTGCTGCCTTTACCTGGGAGCCCACCTGCCCTCCTAGCCTGGAGAGGCTGTGCTCATCACCTGGCTCCAGGGAGTCCGACGGACTGGGGTGGCCCCACGCCTCTCCCCATGGGTATTCATGTGACATTCCTGGCTCCCTTCTCCACAGCCTTTCAGGAATGGGAGCCCAGCCCTCCCCAGTGCCTCCCAAGCTGCTCATGAATGTCCCCAGCAAGCCACCATCTTCTCGGCTCTGCTTGGCCCCAAGCCACCAGGGCCATTTCTGCAGGAACCGACCATAGGAATGGGGCTGCTCTGGCCTGGAATTCACTTTCCCTTTAGGGTCAAGGGCAGTACCCCAGGGCCTGGACAGTCCCATGGCCACATGGCCAAAATCCCTGGGGCCCTTTAACCAGGCTCTGGCCCCTACTTCCGCCTGGTTCACGGTTTTACCCGGTAGCCTGAGCCCTGGGCAATGCCAGGGATGAGGCTGGGTTGGTGATAGTCCTGCCCGACCAGAGTGGGCAGGGGCCCCGCGCTCTCCGGCCTCTCCCACAGGGTTTCACCCTGCAGTCCCTGCCTTGACCCTGGCTGCCGGCCTCCTGGGTGCAGCCAAAGGCCGCCCAGATGCTCTTCGTTTGAAAACAGGCTCTGGAAGCCAGTGCCTCTGGCCTGAGGTCTAGACGTCCCTCTTCCCTTGTCAAGAGGCCTGGTTCACCAGTGTCTCAGAGCAGCTCTCCCCAAACGAGTGTCCCACAAGTGAGCCTTGGGAACCGAATACAGGGACCCTGATCAGAGCACAGAGGACTCAGAGCCCTGAGGACCAAGGTTTGCCTCCAGATGTGACCACACATCAGACTCACCGGAGAAGCGTTTTAAAAATAGGTATTTGCTTGAGTGTTGGTTGGATGCTCCCGGTGACTCCAGCACACAACCAGAACCCCTTCTGGCCGCTCCATTTCACAGATGAGGAAACTGAGGCTGCAAGAGGGAAAGGATCATCCTAAATTACTGAGGAAATAGTAGCAAGAGTCCACGCCCCTGCCTCCTGGGCTGAGGAGGGACAGGAGGGCGGTGGCTTTCCTGAGCGAGAGGAAGCGCAGTGAGATCGGGAATCAGACAGGACTTAGGATTGGAAGCCGCACGGCCACTATTAATCTCTCTGAACCTCAGTTTCTCCATCAATAAACGGGGGTTGAAACCTCCCTGATGGAGTTGTGGTAGGATCAGCGGGAATGAGGAGTCGGTCCCCCAGGCACAGAAGGCCTGGATCCTTCCTTTTAATTGTGCCACACTGTGGCTGAGGCTGAATGAGAGACCCCGGCCAGGAACCAGGAGACCTAGGTAATCCTGGCTCTGTTACTGCCTTGCTGTGTGACCTGGGCAAGCCGCCCTCCTTCTCTGGGCCTCAGTGGCACTCATAAGAGAGTGAGTTCTAAGAGCACTTCAGCCATGATCCCTCCTCACTCTGGGCCTCATGGCTCAGAGACACAAATAGATCTGAGAGCAGGCGTGCCCCGTGTGACCCTGGAGAGTGGGGAGAGAAGCAAGGACATGAACACAGAGTCCCCTGTGACTCCCAAATCCAGCCCCCAAGGGAAGCCAAGTGCAGTCGGGAAGACTTCTCCAGATACAACCGGCCCCTTGTTGCAGGGTCAGAGTCCAGCATTGAGATCTGTCCCCAGCAAAGCAAACTGGCCTTGGAGCCTTGGAGTGGCTGGAAAGGGAACAAAAGCCGCGGGTCCAGAGGCCCAGGCCCCGGGGCCAGGCGGGAGCAGCCTGCCAGGCCGCCCTGCCACCTCCACCCCAAGTTGGGGGAGAATGCGCCCTTTGTCCCCCGCAGGCCTTGGTCCCAGGGGGAGGTTTGGAGTCTTGGAGCAGCTTTCCCAAGGGAAAAGGGCTGCAGAGGCTCAGGCAGGAGCAGGACAAGCTCCCCACTGCTGGGGGGCCGGCGGGGCCCGGGGTGCGGGGTGAGGGTCTCTAGATCATGGGCTCTCATTCCTTCTCTCCCTCTGCCTTCCTTCCCAGCGTGGCTCCCTGTTCCCCCTCCACCCTCTCTCTCCCCCACGCCCAGTGTCCCTGTCTCCCTCCTGAGTGCCCCTCACAGTCTCTCATCTCCTCTTTGTCAGCTGGGCCTCTCTGCCTCAGCATGGCTGTCTCCCCCCTCCCCCTCCCCCTGACCCCACCCCCTGCCCTCCCCAGGACTCACTCTGTCCATCTGTCCTCCCCTACAGGTACAGGCTGTGGGTGGACAGCTGCTCAGAAATGTTTGGCGGGCTGGACATCTGTGCCGTCAAGGCCGTGCACAGCAAGGACGGCAGGGACTACATCATTGAGGTGAGGCCTGAAGCCCCGTCCCCCGCCTGGCTCTACCTGGCAGGCGCCAGAGGGGAGACTCCAGTCCTGGGCCTCAGCACGGTCAGCTGTGTCCTGTGCCTGCTCCTGGCACAGGCAGCCCAGGCTGCAGTGAGCAGCTTCCAGAAGCTTCTGCCTGCCCCTCATCCGCCCCGTCCCACCTCAGCTGCATCAGAGAGGCCTTGGCTTCATGCTCAGGGGCTCGGCCTCCAGAGCTCAGGACACAGCTGAACAGCTGTCCCGGCCTGTGACCCTAATGGAAGAGTGGCAGGCCAAGAGTCAGCAAGATTCTGTCCCGTTGGGCCCTGTCAGTGACCTCCGTATCCAAGAAGGTAGACACACTCTCCTGGCCACTATGCAGAGACTCTGTCATTTGTTCATTCAACAAACATGAGCTTCAGGGACTCCTGTGGGCTCAGCGTGTGGCTCTGGGGACACAGCAGTGAACCCACGGCACATGGAGTTTGCAGGCTGACAGGGCAGAGGGTGACAAACAGGTAAAGGACGGGGGGGTGTCAAATGTCCAGAAGGGGCACAGTGTGCAGGGGTGATGGGGGAAGATGCTGGAGACGAAGTTGTAAGAGACACCCCCAGAGGGGCTGAGGCGAGCCCCCCTCAAGACCCTCCTTCTGCACAGCCCCCCACCCCTCAATCCCCCGCTTCCGTGGCTCCCCGTGGCCCTCTTGGTCCCCAGCCCTCCCCGCTCTCCTCAGCTCCTTCCCTGCCCTGCTGTCCGCTGCTGTCCACTCTGGCCTGGGCTGGGCTCTCCATGCTCACACGCACACCCCCACACACACATGCACACACACACACATGTACATGAATGCGCGAACACTCGTGTGTATGCACAATGCATGCACACACACACATGCACACGCACGCACACACATGCCCCCACACACGCAAACACCACCCTTCCCCCCCTCCCTCCGTGAGACTCACTTCCCCAGCACAGGGGAGGCCGGTGCTGACACAAGGCCCGTGGCTGCCCCCTCCCCCAGGTGTGGGTGGCTAATGGGAAGCACATGGCCAGGGTGACCACAGGAGCCAGCCGTCCCCCAGGCCCTCATGCTGCAGGGCTCCCCAGGGATCCACAGTGCAGCAGGACCAGGTGACTCAGTGGGCACTGACACGTGCCCAGGGAGGCAGGGTCGGGAGTCCAGGACGGACAGCGTCCCCAGCGCCCCCAGGAGGCTCCCTGCAGATGAGTGGCCCCTACAGTGGAGCCAGCCCTTCTCTGGAAACAGCGCTCCTCTCCGGGCAAGAACACTTTCCGTCTGGCTGTCACTGTCCCTCAGATTCCCCAGGGTCCCCTCCTCAGAGGAGATACTGAAGAGCCAGGGACAGAGTCACTGAGGGACACAGTACCCTGGAGGGGCCAGTCCCCCACTTTCCTGGGGAGACCCTGGGAGCTTCTGAGCAGGCGCAGGGTGACAGCTTCTCTGCCTGGGGCCTCAGAGCTCCTGGGACCCCACAGGCCCTCCTGCTCCCCTTTGCATGTCATCGGGGACGCCAGACGTCCCCCCAGGCCCTGCCTCCACCCATAAGTGGCAGCCAGGGGTCCCCCGAGGGCCCGTCCCTCCGGGTTTTCTCAACTTTCACTCTTAGGAAGGAAAAATGTGCACCCGTGGGCCCAGGCTCCTGCCCCCACACATTCAGGCATGAAAGACTGTTCACATTAAAAACAAAAAACAAATCAAAAAGAAAGCGAAGCAGTGGGCTTGGACTTCAAGGCACAAGAAAACAGCTTCTCAAAAATGTTCCAGAAAAAAAATGGCTTTCGAATTTTTTTTCTCTTTTCTCTCAGAAACATTACGGGGTTGTTCCCCTTCCTTTTGGGTTTGGGGTAGGATCAGGGGAGAGGGGAAGCTTGCCACTAGGATTAAAAGGTATTTTTTTTTCCTATTAAGGAAAGAAAAAGGCAGGAGAGATCCAGAATTACTGGGTTCCTAGCCACCTCACCGCTGTGGGGAGAACAGAGCGTGTGTGATGGTTGGTGAGGACCCTCACAGTGAAATCCCCGGGGGAAAGGCCCTCTCTGACCTGTCCAGGCTATGACATGGCTCCCTGGAAGCATGTCTCCCCGGGGACACCCAGTGTCCACTTTCCTTGGCTGTGTCCACTGTGGGGATTCCAAACTTGTGTGACCTGAGGTTGCGTGGTCACTATTTTCCATTGCAGAGAATGTGGAGAACGCACCAGGCCAGGAGAGGGTAGGCAGGGTCAGGGGGAGAGGACAGGACAGGCCGGGGCAGACTCCAGAGCTGGAACTCAACACAGCTGCTGCAACCCAGACTGTCCATGTGGCGGGCACTGGGATCCCGATGTCACAGACCTGGGCACAGACCAGGAGCCCCCTGAGGAGTGTTCAGGCCCCTGCAGGAAGCCGCAGGGCAGTCGGCTTCACAGCCTCTCAGGCTCAGGGGTGCGTGAGACCCACAGACCCCGCTAGTCCAGCTGGAGGGACTAGCAGCTGCTCAAACAGCCCCACAGAGGAACAGTGACGAGCCCAGGGTCTCACAGCAGGTCTGTGGCAGAACCAGGCCTGGAACCCTTGCTGCCTCTTCTGGGTTCTGACCCCGGAGAGCTGGTGAGAGTTTGCCTGGTGACAAGGAAGGTGCCACCTCTGTGAGCCTCGGTTTCCTCACCACTGGGATCAGGACACTAACAAGACCTGCCTCGGAGAGCTACTGAGACTGGCAAGTGCCCAGGGCAACGGGCAGGCCCCACCCCTAGCCTGAGGAGCGGGCTGCTGCAGGACCTCCGTCCCCCCACTCCACCTCGCAGCCCGTAGCCCAGCTCTCCAGTGGCACAACCCGGGAGGGCAGAAGGAGGATCAGCTCCGAGAGCTGGCTCCCCCCATCTGAGACAGCTTCCGGGAGGAGGAGGGGCTGGCTAGGTGCTCCCTGAGGGAGGAGCAGCTACCCGGGCCACCAGGAGTGGGAAGAGCAAATCATGAACATGGGGACCCAGAGGACAGAGACGCTGGTTGGTCCAGAGCCGGGGACGAGGGGAGACCAGCCCCGAGGTTTGAGGCGGGTGGAGCAGGTGAACTCTGGCGGCTGGATTCCAGCGGTAGAAGAGAGAGGCGGGGTGAGAACAGCCAGTTCACCGGTCTGCCAAGGCTAGTTCAGGGCCTTCGGTAGCTGCCTTGCCCAGGGACTCACCTGGGTCATTGTCCTGTGTGGCCTCAGGCAAATCCCTTCCACCCCTCAGTTTCTCCATCTGTAGAAACAGCAGAATGGCAGTCCCATCTCTCAGGCCACCTCTTTGTCTCCTTGGAGAAAGGCCAGGTCCCTGCGGAGTGACTTTGGCCCCAGGCCTGTGTGTTAGAGAACAACCCTCCCCTCTTTCCTCTTCTCTCTGAACCCTGGGTCAATTCCAACCCCCACCTCCACCCCCCCCCTTTTTTTTGGTCCTGATGGAGCCCCCACCTTTACTGTTTCTGGCTTTGTGGAAAGTCTTGACCTTGGGCCAGAGGAGAGGAGGCCAGACCCCACCCTTGGAGGGGGCCCAGTGGGAAAGGAGGGGGTGGATACCAGCTCCCCAAAGAAAAATACGGAAAAGGTCAGCAAAGGCTCCCAGCCTGGGTCATGGTCACGTTGCCCTAGTCCAACCTCTGTAGGCAGACCAGAGCTGAACCAGGGAGCGGGTTTAGACTGAAGTTGGGGGAACAGAATGTCTCGGGGAGCCCAGTCGCAGCTGGAGGTGCGGGGCTGGGTGGTTTGCATGGAGGACATCGCCATCTAGTGGTCATTTCGGTCCTGAGCCCAGGGCTGTTCCTGGACGTTGCTGCCCCAGCTATGCAGGCATGGGGTCCTTCACCCCTCCTTTGTCTCCCACAGGTAATGGACAGCTCAATGCCCCTGATCGGGGAGCATGTGGAAGAGGACAAGCAGCTGATGGCTGACCTCGTTGTCTCCAAAATGAGCCAATTCCTAATGCCAGGGGGCACAGTACCCTCACCCCTGAAGCCATGGGTAAGATTCTGCAGAATAAAGAACATGCTGCATGTCTGGGCTGGGGGCCCCTCGATCGGACAGAGGGATCACAGGGAAGGAGCCACAGTGGGTAGATAGGAATGAGGTGGGAAAAGGTGGGCGTCCCCATGGGAAGACTCAGGACGTCTCTAGGGGCCCCTCCTCCCTGCTGGAGAGAGAGATCTGGTCCCACCTGGCCTTCAGGCACCTGTGGGCAGGGAGCACTGACAGCTGTCACAATCCCTTGCCGGCATCCTGGGCCTGAACAAGAGCCTGGGTTCACAGGTCCCTGTGTGTTCCTAGGGCACAGATGATGGAGACTATTGTGTCTCCCTGCACAGCCCCCACCAAGGAGGACCCACCCACTCTGCAGAGAACCCTCCAGCTGCAGTCTCATCCAGAGACTTGCTCCTGTCCCCCACCCAGATCCTGCTGTCCCCACAAGACCTCATCCATGATCACAGATGTCAGGTTGATGGTTCAACTTGAGGAGGGCACAGGTGGCCCTCTGCTCTGGAATGTTCTGTCTTGGGTCGTGGCCACCCCAACTCGTACCTGTGTGAGACCCGAACACTTAATAAGCCTGCAAGGAGGTCTCACTCATAAAACCATCTCTCTAAAGCTGGCCCCACCCAGGAAAAGGCCAGGGAGATGGCTACAGGCTTCCTTTTTCTTCCGCTTTAGGCTCCACAGACCAAACCCGCAAAATCCCCCGGGCAAGGCCAGCTGGGACCTCAGCTGGGACAGCCCCAGCCACGCCCACCTCCACAAGGTAAGAGCCAGGGAGGATGTCGAGGGTGGCGCCTGGGACCTCCAGAGGGCACTGTGGAAGGATCCATCTTCACACCACACCCGTTCCACACCGACCGCGAGGTGTGTCAACCCTTTAGCGACAGGGAAGGAAAGAGAAGGTAGACCTGCCTTTCAGTGCGGGTTGTGCACGGGGCTAGGCACTTTCTAGCCTCCCAAGCTCTCCACAGGAGAGACATCCGTATTTCCTTTGTTCTGCGGTGGCCGTGGAAGCTTCACCCAGGGAGGCAAAAGCAACTGGCAGATGGACAGTCTGGCCTTTTAGGCCTTCTAGAACGTGTTCACTTCTAGCTCCCAGATGCATGAGCCAACCCACTGGAGTGAGAGAGGAGAAAAAGCAGAACACAAGACATGACCTTGTCGAATGAAATCCTTCCCCATAAACATTCCAGCAGTACTACATAAATGCCACCGTTTGCCAGGGGACCGATAAGTATGGATACCACCGTGAGACCAGATCACTAGAACAGCTAGGAGCGCTTCCCGGGAACCTCTGCGGCCCGGGAGCTCTCCCACGCAACCGCAGGGAGGAAATGCCCCCTCCTACCCTCCAGAGCAGCTCTGCAGGGAGCCACCAGGCCGGGCAGCTTCCTTGCAACCTCTAAGGATCTGCTTTAAAATTGACCAGAAAGAAAGAGCTTCTATCTCGTCTGGCCTCGCAGCCACAATCCTGAACACAATACATGTACTGCTTCTCGGAAAAAGCCAACCTTGGGCAGCAGGTGGTCCCCTCTTCCATAAATCTAAGGAAAATTGCCCCTTCCTCCCTCAGGACTTCCTCCCTCCTCCTCTCCTTCCTCCCTCCTCTCTCCCTCCCTCCTCCTCTCCTTCCTCCCTCCCTTTCTCTATCACTGTCATTTATTCAGTGTATTCTTCTATATTGGCTCACTTTTTCACATAAATGAATGTGATGTTGACTATTTCCCCCCCTATACTCCAAAATACATGCACAATTATCGAAACTATATTCGACCACAGACTAAAAATCACCACACTTGTCAAAACGCTGGGCTAGTTGACCTTTCGGCCTCCGTGTCTGTAGTAGCATGGTCTGGCAGTACAATGGCTTATTCAGACTCGCATCCACTCTAAAGGCCAGAGTAGGCTTCCCCACTTAATCTTACTCATGTCTTTTTCTTTGTCCCTGAAGTTTTCTCTCATTCTCTATTCTGACAAATCCCCAGAGTTTTGAGGCTCAGTTCCCTCTACAATTTAAAACAGTAACACTCGGGCCGCACAGGGTACTGCACGCCTGTAATCCCAGGGACTCGGGAGGCTGAGGAAGGAGGATTGCAAGTTGGAGGATCGCAAATTCAAAGCCAGCCTCAGCAAGTTAAAGAGACCCTGTCTCAAAGCATAAAAAGGGCAGGGGATGTGGCTCAGTTGTAGAGCACCCCCGAGGTCAACCCTGGGGCTGAAAGAAAGCCACATTTGTTGAATGACAACTACGCCTGCGCCTGTGCTTGGGGCCCAGGGCACAGTCCCTCGGGACAGCAGGAGGACTTAGCTGAGGAAGGAGGCAGAGAGAGAAGGGGGGTCCGGGGTCCCAACAGGCCCTTCAAGAACACACTCCAGTGACCTCACGTCATCCCCTCTCCCAGCCTCCATTTCCTCAGCGATAAAGGAGGACAAAGCAGCTGTCACAGGTACCGATGAGGAACTGTCCCCAGAACAATGCGGGTGAAGCAGTTAGCGAGGTGCCTGACAGAGAGAACGGGCCTAGAGACATGAGCTCTTCCTACTGTCACTCGCTGTCAACAACCGCTCCCAACCTCTGGCTGGTAGTAACCTGTCTTACTCACAAACCTAAAAACCAGGTTGCTCCTGATCATCATCAAGGGTCCTTGTACCTCACGCGACCCACTGTCCGCCTGGCAAGACTTCCCTAGCTCTAAATGTTCCAAACGACAGGCGTCACGCCCCAGCCTCCTGGCCTGCTCTGCCTGCCCCCTCCTTTCCACTTTTTAAAAACACATTTGAACAGAGCCCCCTTTTAAAAGAGAGCTACTGACTGTGGTTTCCTCTCTGCCCAGAGCAGAAACACGCCGGATAAAGAGAGGTTATTTTAAGGAACATGCAGCTCAACACACTTCTAGTCCGTGGAAAAATAATCGATCTAAAACCAGTTAAGGTAACTAAAGAAAACGCTACTAGAATTAACAATCCGGATTAAAAATAACAAGGCTAATTTATCTTCTCAAACAAGCCTAATTGAAGAGTGAGGTTTTCACCAGTTTCCCCCAATGACAAGATCACATTATTGCTTCACACTCGATGTTCGTTTTCAAACTCGGTAACAGTGAAGGTTTCCTTTCAATAAACTTTGCTTTCTAGCAGCAATCCTGTGATTCGGCAAAGACTTTTTATACACGATATTTTGTGTCTGTGCTCAAATTTAAAAAATGCTAAATTGTATGCTTTTTCAAAAAAAAAAAACTTTAAAAGAAATAACGAGGGTGTCTTTTAATGAATCCAAGGGATATATAGGGACTTAAAGTTGATGAGTTGAGCACACAGAGTTTTCAAAATATTATCGGCCCAGGGTGGGGATGGAGTTTAAGAACCATGTAGAAAACATGTTGTTTTATTTGACCTGCAGTGGGGTTTAGAAGTAAAACAGTTTCCAACATTTAAAACTCGGGAACCTTTACTTAAACATCTAGATTTTATGTTAAGCCTCCCACCCTCCCCCCTTGCCAATTTCTAGAGCCTTCCCCCCCACCACCCTTTTTATTTTAGAGACAGGGTCTCCCTGAGTTGCATAGGACCTCACTAAGTTGCTGAGGCTGGCTTTGAACTCTTGGTCCTCCTGCCTCAGCCTCCCAAGCCACTAGGATGACAGATACAGAGATTCCAGAAACAGTGAGTCTGCCTTCCTACATAGAGCCATCAGCTGCCGGCTAGTCAGGGCTGACCCCTGGACCCAGCGAGGACTCTGCCTCTGCCTCAGGCCCTGCTCCTCTCTGTTGTCACTTCCAGGGTGACAGGCGGTCAATGGCTATTTTCTTTAGGCTCAGCACCTCTTTAGAGAAAGTTCTCTGAACGCTTATTATGTCCAGAGGGAAGGGTTTTTTTAAAGCAGCTATTTTTCTGACACTACTCCACTTTGTTTATTTACATACCCGCCTGGCCCAGAGGTGTGGGAGTTTGAAATCTAGGGGTCCTCCCATCTACCGTCATGAAAGAGGTCAAGGTTCAAGGCCTCACGCCATCATTTGCTAAACTGGGGTTGTAATTTAATCCAATTTAGAAAGTGTTCCCCACGCTCACAAAAATGTTTAATTGGGAGGGCCGTTTGGCGTATGGTCCAATGACTTCATTGTGTGACTTCCCCACAGTCACGTGGCAAGCTCCTGACCAGGCTTGAGTCAGGACCCGGGGCTCCTGGGGCCAGCAGAGAGTCAGGGCCACCAGGCGGACAGGTCATGCCCTCGGCAAATGTGCCCAGCGGGCTCTGTGTCCAAGGGGAAGGGTCCTCTGGCACCTAGCCAGAGCTGCTGCCACCAGAGAAAGCAGCGGAATTTTCTTAATCCACACAAAGACGTCGTGAGGACTCAGGGCAGCCCTGGGAGGACTGTGTCTCCACCTCTGTGCAAAGAGCAGGGTCACATCTCCTCCATCCGTTTCTCTAGAAAAAGGATATGCTGCTCCTGGAAGTTCTTAGAAAAATGTAGAGAGCAATGCCAAAAGTCAGGGATGATTCTGTCCCTCTTTTTCAAAGCCACGCCTCTTCTGCCTGCTCTTGATCCTCCTGCCTCAGCCTCCCAAGCCGGAGGGAGAAGAATCCGAGTCCCTCATGACCCCCCCCCCCACCTTTGCAGTGTTCAGGGCCTTGTATCTCAAAGCTGCAGAATCACCCGCAGTTTTCTGCTCCAGCTGGGTAACAGCAAAGAGCCGCAGCCTGGGCCCGTAGACCACAGCAGCGGCAGGACTGGTTCTGGGTGCAGCTTCTCTCCTGGCTGGCAGATGGCAGCTGCTTCCTTCTTCCCCAGACGCACACCCACATTCGATGTCTCTTCGTCTTCTTAGGGGGACCCCACCCTGTTGATCAGCCCTCACCCTGATAGCCTCCACCACCCTTAATTACCCCCTCAAAGACCCCACCTCCAAAAGCAATCACACTGAGGGTTAGGGCTTCAACGTCCCGATCTGGGGTACACGATGTGGTCCGCATCACCACCCCACATCTACTGTGTCAAGTTCTTTTTTTTTTTTTTTTGACAAGATCCCCAATGATCCATGGGCACATTAGAGTTTTAGGCCCAGTGAGTCTATGAACAACTTTCCATCTTTCTTTTCCACATAGCTTTATGTATTTGTGCCAAAAGAATAAACATCTGTGCTGTCACATAAGCCACTTTTATGAGCAGTATGTGTTCAGTGCCATCAGTAGCATCCCTGTCACTTAATGCTATTCTGCCACATCCTACGATCGGATGACCCCAGCCTCTTCCACTGGACAGATGCGCCTGGGGCCCCTGGAGACTTCCTGTGGCTTTGTATCTATTCCGTTTTCAGTGTTTACTGTTGTCAACCACAATTTGGGCACAGTCCTGTTGAGCCTCATGAGTGTGAACCTAACCCTCCCTTCGGCCTGCAGGGGGTCCTCGTCAGGCCCAGTCTCCTCAGACCCCCAGATCCGGAAGCCCCTCCCAACAGAGGCTCTCCCCGCAAGGCCAGCAACCCCTGAGCCCCCAGTCTGGATCCCCACAGCAGCAGCGGTCGCCAGGATCTCCACAGCTCTCCCGGGCATCTGGGGGCAGCTCCCCGAACCAGGCCTCCAAGCCGGGCACCAGCCTGGCCTCGCAGCCCCGGCCGCCCGTGCAGGGCCGCAGCACCTCGCAGCAGGGGGACGAGTCCAAGAAGACAGCAGCGCCCCATCCCCATCTCAAGTAAGTGCTCTGGCCATCGGGGGCAGGAGACTGGGGTGCCGGGCTCTTCAGGTCAGGGACTCAGAGCAGAGAAAGATCCAAAGAGGCCTTTCTCTGGGCTTTAGATAGGTGGAAACTGGACTGGGGCATTGCCTGGGTGGGGCAGGGCCCAGGGAGGCGGAGAAGGGCTCCCGTGTGCCCCTCCATCAGCACAGGAACTAGTTACCTCTTGCTCCTTAGCAAACCTCCCCCAAACTTTGTGGCTTAAGAAAGCCACCATTTTCCTTGGTTCACAACTTGGGGGTTCAGCAGTTTACTCTGAGTTTAACATGCTGGACAATTCTTCGGCTGTGTCTCCTGGAGAACTTCCGGGTACCATGAAGAAGGCCAGGGTAGATTTGGATTTCAGACAAACGTGAAAACTTGGGGTATTTGCCTGGGGTGTGTTAATACTTTAAAAATATACGCTTGCTTTTCGCCTGAAATTTTGAACTGGGTGACGGGAATTTTCCCTTGCCAAGTATGGCGGTCCTCCTCCCCGGGTCACTCCTGTGGATTGGTGGACTGACTGTGGCCAGGTGGTGCTGGCGGTTAGCTGGCCCCGTCTCCGGGGCCTCTCCTCCTCACCTGGTAGGATTGCTTCTAACAGGGCAAAAGCAGAGGCCTGAGGCGTTGGGGGCCCAGCTTGGAAGCTGTACCCCTGCCCTTGTCAAGCAGGTCACCTGGCCGTGCCCAGATTCACAAGGTAGGGAAAGAGTCTTGGCGGAAGGAAGCACCTTGCAAATGGGTGGCCCACAGGGTGGGAGGAACCTGGTCATTTTTTAAAATAACTTTCATGACACACACACACATCCTGCCTCCTCTCAGGGCTTGCTCTTGGTTTACAGAAAGAGGGATCCCAACCATGTGGCCCCTGGAAACTTGTCCCTGTGCCCAAACACGAACAGCCATCATCAGTTTCCCAGACCACACCACCGCCCACTTGCTCGGGCCAAGCACTCTGTGAGGCTGGGTTTTCTTAGGTCCCCGTGAGCTTAGAAGTTAAAGACTCTCACTATCCCGTCGTACAGATGAATAAACACAAGGAGACTGCAGAACTTGGCCGAGTTCCTATTGTTCGTAGAGAGAAGGGTGAGGACAGAACCCAAGGCATCCATGATAACATGATTTTTTTTTTCAAATAGGTAATATATTCACATGGTTCAAAGATTTTAAAGACACTAATGATATAAAAGATAGACATTGAAAAGCCTCACTCCAACCCCACTCCCATCCAGTGCTTTGCTCCCCTGGTCCCTAGAGACGACCATATTTGTTAATTCCTTGTCTGTCCTGCCAGTGTTTTCTTATACAAATAGAAATATATACCCTCTGATCCCCTCCTCGCTTTCTTACACTATGGCCGCATTCACTATCCACACCATTAGGCTCCTTACTTTTCAGTAACAATACAACCTAGAGCACCCTGTTCATTGAGATTTTTAATAGCTATATAGTATTCCACGACATTGTTGTACTATGATTATCTAATTAGTCCACCTAAGTAAATATCTGGATTTAATTTAAACAATGTTGCAATCTTGAACATCTATTTTTTTGTGGTTTATCTAGCTAGAAACTCATAAATCTCCTGACTCCTTGTCACTGTGGGGAAAAAAAATACCCAGTTTGATAGATTTTAACAAGTGACCCTCAGGCAATAGGGCATTGTAACTGACAGCACAGGCTCTGCAATCAGACTGCCTGGGTTCCAATCCCAGATCCACCATTTAAAAGCTGAATGACCTCCAATAAATCGCTCAACTTTTCTGTGCTACAGTGTCTTCACATGCAAATGGAGACAGTATCTCTCGGGGTTATTATAAGAATGAAATGAGTTTCTGCACAGTGTGTGCTTAGAATGTTAAGGCACCAGGCAAGCTTGGAAAGGCGCGGCCTGTCCCCGTGTACAAAGGTCACCGCAGCTACTCACAGGGCAGGCGAGAGCTTTGGAACTTGGGCCAGGTTTGGGCACTGGCTTTGTGGTCATCTAGCTAGAATCCCATAGTCTCCTGACTCCTTGTTTAGCATATCCTTTCTAATTTTTTCATCTTTATTTTCTTGGCAATGCTGGGGGATGAGCCCAGGGCCCTGTGCGTGCTAGGAAGTGCTCCACCACAGAGCCACACGGTAGCCCTAGAGTATCGTTTTATTTAGTTCAAGTCGGCAGATATTTACCAGATACCCACTCTGGGCCTCATCCTGGATAAGGCTTTTACAGGTTCATAAGGGAGGGGCAAAACTAGTCCCCACTTAGAAGAAGATCTCCATTTTTTAGTGTGTCGGCAAGGCGGCGTGCAGACCCTTTAAACTCGTGACGTATCCACATCGTCCCATCCTAGGTCACCTCCCCTGGACTGTGAACGTTTCAAGGGCAGGGCATGCTGCATTTGTCCCTGCACCCCGTCAGCTGGCCCCGGGGCTGACACTCAGGAAGGGCTCAGGAGGATGGCTGAGGCCAGCTCCCATGACACACTCGGAGAAGGCACCGGGGGTCCCATCAGCTGGGACCATGGAAATTCCAAAATGGTGGGGGTGGGGGCAACCATAAAGGCCTTGAGAAAGAGGTGGGAACGGAAGCCCAGAGGGTCAGATCCGGATTCCCACTGTGGGGCACCCCAGTTGGCCCAGGGCGTCTGAGCACACAGGCGGGGGGAGGTCCGGCCTCCCTGGCGAGGCCTGCTGCCTGGGCAGCCTGGGTGAGGGGCAGGAGCCGAGCCCTGGAGGCCGCCCCTCTGGCTGTGAGAGTCCACCAGAGCAAGGCCTGCCTCCGCCAGCCCCGATTTCTGTACCCAACAAACGAGGACCTCAGCAAGCGCTTGCAGATCGGGTGACATCCCCACCAGTCCCAGGTAAGGGCTGCGACGCCTGGGTTCCGGTCTCTCAGGCCTCTGGCTTTTGGGACAGCCCCAGGCCCAGGTCCTCGGGAGCCCGGGCCTTGTCCCCGCAACCTCCTGGCCTCTCTCTTGCAGCAAATCTCAGTCCCTGACTAACAGCCTCAGCACCTCGGACGCCTCCCAGCGCGGGACCCCGAGTGAGGACGAGGCGAAGGCCGAGACCATCCGCAACCTGAGGAAGTCCTTCGCCAGCCTCTTCTCGGACTAGCCCCGCCGGGCAGAGGGCAGGAGCCCGGGACCCTGGGCCCTCTCCTGGCCCGGCCTCCCCCTCGGCCTTCGTTCCTGGCAGGAAGAGGAGGCAGGGCCCAAGAACACACTTTCCAAATGCCTTCGACCCAGGAACGGACTGACCGTCTCCGTGTGTCCCCACTGTCCTTCGTCGTGACCCCAGCGCTGTCTGAATGAGGGGTGGGCCCTGGAGAGCCGCCCGGCTCCCCGACTTCGGCCTCTAGACAGACCGCGCCGCCCGCCGTCCCCTCGCTTGCTCCCCTGTGCCCTAGTTCCCACAGTTTCCACGTCTCTCCTTAGTGCTGTGCTTGCCCTTGGGCCGGGTCCCCTCCCAGGCCCTGGCCACCCCGATCCAGTGCAGCCCCTGGAGTCGACCCCTCCACACAGGAGGCAATAATTTTTAACAGCAAAGAAAGAAAAACCCCAGCAGGGCCTCTACCCCCTGCCCAAACCCGTGCTGGACCTGCCCTCAGAGCAGCAGGCAGAGGCCCTTCACGGCCAGGGCACGGGGGGAGGAGACTGAGGTCCACAGGAAGCAGCCAGACCTGGGCCACTCGTGGGGCCTTTAAACAGCAGAAGCAGAGAGACGCCCTCGGGTGCCGCCCAGGCCGAGGGTGGCCCTTAGCTGGACAGCCACGGTGGGCACAGGCTCTTGTAGGAATCCTGACCATCCTCGAGACCTGCCCATGTGTCAGGACCCAGGGAGAATCAGTGGACCAAGGCAGGGGACAGAAGGGCTCCAGGTCAGCGTGGCGCAGACCCTGCCCGCAAGGCCCTGGTGGGCCTCTCAATTCCAGAAGCAGAGAGACGCCCTCGGGTGCCGCCCAGGCCGAGGGTGGCCCTTAGCTGGACAGCCGCGGTGGGCACAGGCTCTTGTAGGAATCCTGACCATCCTCGCGACCTGCCCGTGTGTCAGGACCCAGGGA